TGATTGTAGGTGAACTATAAATCCCAGCAACTACAGCTCCCAAATGTCAAGGTCTATTTTCCCCAAACTCTGCCAGTGTTCACATTTGGGCATATTGAATATTTGGGCCAAGTTTGGTCAAGCTCCATCATTGTTTGAGTCCACAGTGCTCTCTGGATGTAGGTGAACTACAACTCCAAAATTCAAGGTCAACGCCCACCAAACCCTTTCAGTATTTTATGGTGGTCACGGGAGTTCTGTTTGCCAACCGTTTGCCAACTGAACTCCATCATTGGTGGAGTTCAGAATGCTCTTTGATTGTAGGTGAACTATAAATCCCAGCAACTACAACTCCCAAATGACAAGTCTATTTCCCCCAAACTCTGCCAGTGTTCACAAAGAGCATTCTGAACCCCACCAACGATGGAATTGAACCAAACTTGGCACAGAGAACTCCCATGACCAACAGAAAATACTGGAAGGGTTTGGTGGGCATTGAGCTTGAGTTTTGGAGTTGTAGTTTACCTACATCCAGAGAGCACTTTGGAATCAAACAATGATGGATTTGAATCGAACTTGGCGCAGATACTCAATATGCCAAAATGTGAACACTGCTAGAGTTTAGGGGAAATAGACCTTGACACTTGGGAGTTGTAGTTGCTGGGATCCCTCCAGAGAGCACTGTGGACTCAAACAATGATGGAGCTGGACCAAACTTGGCACGAATACTTAATATGCCCCAATGTGAACACTGGTGGAGTTTGGGGAAAATGTCACCTGGACATTCCAAGAGTATTCTGAACCCCACCAACGATGGAATTGAACCAAACTTCACACACAGAACTCCCAACACCAACAGAAAATACTGGAAAGGTTTGATGGGCATTGACCTTGCGTTTTGGAGTTGTAGTTCACCTACATCCATAGAGCAAACTATGAACCCAAACAATAGTGAATCTGGGGCAAACTTTGCATGCATACCCAATATGCCCAAATTTGAATACTGGTGGGTTTTGAGGCAAATTGGCCTGGACATTTTGGAGTTGTTGGTACTGGGATTTATAGTTCACCTGCAATCAATGGGCACTCTGAACTCCACCAATGATAGAATTGGACCAAACTTGGCACACAGAGCCCTCATGACCAGCAAAAAACTACTGGATGTCTTTGGGGAAGAGTCGCCTTGATTTGGGGGAGTTATAGTTCACCTACATTCAGAGAACACTGTGAACCCAAACACCGATGGATCTGGAAAAACCTTGGCACACAAACCTGATATGCTGAAATTTGATTATTGGAGGGGTTTGGAAGGAACTGACCTACCTTTCTGGGAGTTGTAGTTCACCCACAACCAGAGAAACTGTGACCTCGGCTCCACCCAGGATGGACCTGGACCAAACTTGGCACACTGAGCCCTCATGACCAGCAAAAATCTACTGGAGGTCTTTGGGGAAGATTCACCTTGATTTGGGGGAGTTGTAGTTCACCTACATCCAGAGAGCACTGTGAACCCAAACACCGATCGATCTGGAAAAACTTGGCACACAAACCTGATATGCTGAAATTTGATTACTAGAGGGGTTTGGGAGGAACTGACCTTCCTTTCTGGGAGTTGTAGTTCACCTACATCCAGAAAGCACTGTGAACCCAAACACCGATGCATCTGGAAAAATCTTGGCACACAAACCTGATATGCTGAAATTTGATTACTGGAGGGGTTTGGGGTGGGACTGGCCTTCCTTTCTGGGAGTTGTAGTTCACCCACAACCAGAGAAACTATGACCTCCACCCATGGTGGACCTGGACCAAACTTGGCACACAGAACCTCCATGACTAACTCAACCTACTGGAGGAGTTTGAGAGGACTGACTCACCACAGTGGGAGTTGTAGTTTACCTTACAGCCAGAGAGCACACTGAACCCCACCAATGTTGCATCTGGAGCAAACTTGCCCAACATAACAAGTACTAATGGAGTTTCTCGGGGTAATCCAGGCATGATGTGAGTTGTTGTTCACACACAACCTCATGCATTTTGTATAATTACAAAAATGACTTTTTCAAATATTTTTTGTATAATTACAGAAATGACTTTTTCAAAAAAAAATTTCTATTGATTTGAAGTGAAACAAAACTAATAGTTTGAGAAGCCAGCCTGATGCTTCGCTTGCCCCCCAAACAGCTGAAATTCTGCCCTTTTTACTATCCAAAGCTACTTTTCTCCCCTTTGCAGAAGAGTTGCTAGTGGATCACCTGCAGAATCACCCAGTAACCCCAGTTCTGCAAAAGAGCAGCACCTGTGCCAAAGTGGCTTGGCTGTGATGCAAAATCTTCCACCTTCCAAATTCCTGGAGTCCATTCATCTCCACCGAGGAGGAAGAAATTGTTTGAAATTGTTGTGCATTTTCACTGTAGAATTAATGCAGTTTGTCACCACTTTGACTGCCATGGCTCAATGTAATGGGATATTATTGGGGAGTTGTAGTTCACCCACAACCAGATAAACTGTGACCTCCACCCATGATGGACTTGGACCAAACTTGACACACAGAACCCCCATGACTAACTCAACCTACTGGAGGGCTTTGAGGGGACTAACTCACCATAGGATTCTTGGAGTTATCATTGGGGAGTTGTAGTTCACCCACAACCAGAGAAACTGTGACCTCCACCCATGATGGACTTGGACCAAACTTGACACACATAACCCCCATGACTAACTCAACCTACTGGAGGGCCTTGAGGGGACTAACTCACCATAGGATTCTTGGAGTTATCATTGGGGAGTTGTAGTTCACCCACAACCAGAGAAACTGTGACCTCCACCCATGATGGACTTGGACCAAACTTGGCACACAAAACCCCTATGACTAACTCAACCTGCTGGAGGGCCTTGAGGGGACCGACTCACCATAGTGGGAGTTGTAGTTTACCTGGAACCAGAGAGCACATTGAACCCTACCAATGATGCGTCTAGAACAAACTTGCCCAACATAAGAAACTTTAAGTATTGATGGAGTTTCTTGGGGTTAACCTGGCATGATGTGAGTTGTAGTTCACCCACAACCTAATGCATTTTGTAAAATTATACACATACATGTGATTTTTATTATTATTATTATTATTATTATTATTATTATTATTATTATTAGCTTCAGGCAACGCCAGCTAGTAAATAATAATAATAATAATAATCATCATCATCATCATCATCTATATAAATAAAAATGTAATGTTTGTTTGTGGGATCAACAGAACTCAAAAACCACTGGACCACTTGACACCAAATTTGGACACGATACACTTAACAACCCAATGTATGTCCTTCACTCAAAAAAATGATTTTGTCATTTCGGAGTTGTAGTTGCTAGGATTTATAGTTCACCTTCAATCAAAGAGCATTCTGAATTCCACCAACGATGGAATTGAACCAAAATTGGCACACAGTTCTCCCATGACCAACGGGAGATGGAAGGGTTTGGTGGGCAGTGTCCTTTTGTTTTGAAATTGTAGTTCACCTGCATCCAGAGATCACTGTGGACTCAAACAATGATGGATCTGGACCAAACTCTACATGAATACTCAATATGCCTAATTGTGAACACTAGTGGGGTTTGGGGAAAATAGACCTAGGCATTTGGGAGTTGTAGTTGCTGGGATTTATAGTTCACCTATAATCAAAGAGCATTCTGAACCCCACCAACGATGGAATTGAATCAAACTTAGCACACAGTTCTCCCATGACCAACAGAAAATACTGGAAGGGTTTGGTGGGCAGTGTCCTTTGGTTTTGGAGTTGTAGTTCACCTATATCCAGAGATCACTGTGGACTCAAACAATGATGGATCTGGACCTAACTTGGCATGAAGCCTCAATATGCCCAAATGTGAACATTGGTGGAGTGTAGGGAAAATAGAGTCTGACATTTGTGAGTTGTAGTTGCTGAGATTTATAGTTCACCTAAATCGCAGAGCATTCTGAACCCCACCAATGATGGAATTGAACCAAACTTGACACACAGTTCTCCCATGACCAAGAGAAAATACTGGAAGGGTTTGGTGGGCAGTGTCCTTYGGTTTTGGAGTTGTTGTTCACCTGCATCCAGCGATCACTCAAACAATGATGGATCTGGACCAAACTCTACACGAATACTCAATATGCCCAAATATGAACACYGGTGGAATTTGGSGAAAACAGAATCTTGACATTTGGGAGTTGTAGTTGCTGGGATTTATAGTTCACTTACAATCACAGARCATTCTGAACCCCACCAATGATGGAATGGAACCAAACTTTGCACACAGTTCTCCCATGAYCAASAGAAAATACTGGAAGGGTTTGGTGGGCAGTGTCCTTTGGTTTTGGAGTTGTAGTTCAMCWTTAATCACAGAGCATTCCAAACCCCACCRATAGAATTGGGCCAAACCTCCCACACAGAACCCCCATGTGGGCCACAGCAATGCGTGGCAGGGGACRGTTAGTAAATCAATAAATACATAAATAAAATAGATGGTTGATTCTCTCACACCAGAAGCCACTTGCAGCAWGCAACCAAACAAATAGTCATAATAAATAACCAAGCATCCATCTATGTATGTCTATAGGTGCWGTGGGAGGGAAGGGATCCCAGGAGGCCCCTTTCATGCCTTGAAGCAAGGAAAATATTGGAAGAGAGGGTTGCATTCCTCAGCCTGATAAAAGCCTCCTGGAAGCAAAGGAGAAAAGAAAGAGAGAAGGAGGGGAAGAAGAAAAAAAAAGAATAAAGGTGAAGAGGAGCAGCCAGAAAGCAGGTTAAGGCACTTCCTGGAGTTGGAAATAACATGAGGAAGGGAGGAGTATTTTTTTTTTTTTGCATTCTCTCCCCCCCCAAAAAAATTAAAAAAAGGTAAGGCCCCTCCCCACCAGGTAGGCTTTAATTGCCTCTGGGCCCCGCCCTTGCCTTTGCTGAGGGCCAATAGCGTGGCCCCTTGGGGTTGATTGACAGCATCACGTGGCCTCACTCCTGGGCAGGTAACAGAGGAAGAAAGAAGAGAAGAAGGGGAAAAAAGAGGGCTGTATTATTTTTTGTATTTTTTCCCCTTTTGCAAAGCAAAGAGTCAGCTCCTGCCATGATGAGGTCAGAAGGAGAGAAAACCACCTGTTATTAAAACTTGGGTTACCTATTTTTCATCCAGGAGCAACTCCAAAAAGCAGGTAAGATACAAGGATAATACAAGGAATGGTGCAATTATGGGGCTCACTTTCCCAAATTGAGTTCAATGGGATGAGCCTTGAGTTGTTTGGATGGGAGGTTGGAGTTTGTGTTGTTGTATATGCTTCTCTTTCTCCTCTTGTTGCATTTTATGATGTGTTTGATACATATATATGTAAACATCTCTGCTTTTTAGCTGTTCTTCCCTCCTTCCTTCTGTGGCCATGACGGCTTCTCCGCACAGTGAGGCTCTGGTGGTCTTGTATGGGGCAACCGCTGGTGCATTGGGGGCTAAACTGGGGTCCGATGAGCGGGAACTAATTCTCTTGGTGTGGCAAGTTGTGGACCTACACAGCAAGAAGGTATGGCTTCCCACCCTCTTTTTTCCCCCTTTCCGAAATATAATCCATATCCCAATCCACGTCCCCTTCTTTCTCTTTATTTCCCTCCCTTTCTTATAATATTTGGGGAAAATTGGAGATCTTTCGTATCCGAATCCATGTGGGGTCTCTTTTTTCTCTTGGACTTTCCTCCCAGAATCATGTCGCGGAGGGAGAAAGTAAGCTGCTTGAGCCAAATACGTAGCCCTTTCCTGCTCTTATATTACTATTTTTAGAGTTTTAAACTTCAAAATTGTTCTCAAAACAGATATATCGTAACGATGGAAAAGAGTAGCTTCGTCGTTCTCCGATTTTGGCCTCGCTTCGTGTGGATTTTGGAAGTTTTAAAACTTTTCAAAAGTTGGGACTTCAAAATTGTTCTCAAAACAGATGGATTGGAATTATGGAAAAGAGTGATTTCGTCATCATCAGATTTTGGCCTTGCTTTATATGTCTTTGGAAAGTTTTAAAACTTTTCAAAAGTTGGGGAGATTGGACTTCAAAATTGTTCTCAAAACATATATATCGTAACGACAGAAAATTGTGTCTTCGTCATTCTCCGATTTTGGCCTCTCTTCATGTGGATTTTGGAAGTTTTAAAACTTTTCAAAAGTTGGGACTTCAATTTTGTTCTCAAAACAGATAGATTGGAATTACGGAAAAGAGTGATTTTGTCATTATCAGATTTTGGCCTTGCTTTATATGTCTTTGGAAAGTTTTAAAACTTTTCAAAAGTTGGGGAGATTAGACTTCAAAATTGTTCTCAAAACGTATAGATTAGAATTACGGAAAAAAGTGATTTTCTCATTATCAGTTTTTGGCCTTGCTTTATATGTCTTTAGAAAGTTTTAAAACTTTTCAAAAGTTGTATCAAGACTGTTTCTCAAAACAGATAGATTGGAATTACGGGAATTTCGTCATTATCAGATTTTGGCCTTGCTTTATATGTCTTTGGGAAGATTTAAAACTTTTCAGAAGTTGTATCAAGACTGTTTCGAGGACTCTAAAAATGCCCGTTTGACTCATTACTATCTGAACATCAGACTCATTTTTGAGTGCTACACAAATATTATTGTTGTTGCGTTGTCGAAGGCTTTTGTGGCAAATATCACTGGGTTGCTGTGAGTTTTCCAGGCTGTATAGCCATGTTCCAGAAGCGTTCTCTCATAGGGCCCTTCCACACAGCCCAATAATAATAGTAATAATACATATTATTAATATTATTATTAATAATACATATCATTGTATATTGAAAACAATAAACATCGACAAAACCACGATCTGTCAACTGCAAAAGGCCACCTGACTTGGATCTGCGCGCATCATTCGAAAATACATCACACAGTCCTAGACGCTTGGGAAGTGTTCGACTTGTGATTTTGTGATACAAAATCCAGCATAGAGATCTCGTTTGCTGTGACATACTGTGCTTTTGTGTCAATAATAATAATAATAATAACAATAATTTCTTTATATTCCTTCTCACCCCGAAGGGGACTCAGGGCGGATCACAGTACACATGCATGGGAAATATCCCAAAATATTTATTTATTTATTTATTTATTTACGACATTTATATACTGCCCTTCTCACCCCAAAGGGGACTCACAGTACACATACAGGGCGGATCACAGTACACATACATGGCAAATATCCCAGAATATTTATTGATTTGTTTGTTTACGACGTTTATATGCCGCCCTTCTCACCTCAAAGGGGACTCAGAGCAGCTTACTATATATATATATATATATATATATATATATATATATATATAGATACACACACACACACACACACACACACACACATACACACACACATACACACACACATATACGTGTGTGTGTGTGTGTGTACAATATATTAAATTATTAGCATAGTACAATATCAGTATTATATATTACTATATTGTACTACACCGTTATATTGTAATATTATTAGTAATATTACATGTAATATAAATATATATAATTATAATATTGTATTACTATTATTAATATTATATTGTACTAGCCATCCCCTGCCACGCGTTGCTGTGGCCCACATGGGTGTGTGGGAGATTTGGCCCAATTCTATCATTGGTGGGGTTCAGAATGGTCTGTGATTGTAGGTGAACTATAAATCCCAGCAACTACAACTCCCAAATGTCAAGATTCTATTTTCCCCAAACTCCACCAGTGTTCATATTTGGGCATATTGAGTATTCGTGTAGAGTTTGGTCCAGATCCACCCGTTTGAGTCCACAGTGATCTCTGGATGTAGGTGAACTACAAGTCCAAAACTCAAAACCAAAGGACACTGCCCACCAAACCCTTCCAGTACTTTCTCTTGGTCATGGGAGAACTGTGTGCCAAGTTTAGTTCAATTCCATCATTGGTGGGGTTCAGAATGCTCTTTGATTGTAGGTGAACTATAAATCCCAGCAACTACAACTCCTAAATGACAAAATCAATTTTTTTTGAGTGAAGGACATACATTGCATTGTTAGGTGTCTTGTGTCCAAATTTGGTGTCAATTCGTCCAGTGGTTTTTGAGTTCTGTTAATCCCGCAAACGAACATTACATTTTTATTTATATAGATTACATTATTATATTATAATAATTCTAATAATATAAAAAAGGCACAAAATCCCACATTTTCTGAGTGTGGACTCAGATAACCCAGTTCAAAGCAGATATTGTGGGGTTTTCTGCCTTGATATTTTGGGATGGAGGGCTGTGTGTCAGGAGATAATGCTTCTGGAACATGGCCATACAGCCCAAACAATTCACAGCAACCCAGTGATTCCAGCCATGAAAGCCTTCGACAACACAGAGAGTGTTATGCCCATCCTTTTGGTAGCCACATATTTCTAGTTTTGTTGGATTGGATAAATTTATGGTGGATGGGACCATCGATACTACGATACCTCCATATCGCATTCTATGTGCTTGCATGTATCGGATGCTGGAAAATGTCCATAGAGGATGCACTTGCAGTCCTGTTTATGTACTTTCTGTCAGCATGAACACTCACGTGAACAAAAAGTTGGACCAAACCTTTGGTTCAATCCAAAATTGCACTTTTTGTTTGTCCAGATGCCTTCAGACTACAAGTTCCATTCTCCATGGCATTGACCACTGTGGCTGAGATGGAACATGTATGGAACATGGCCAGACAGCCCAGAAAACTCACAGCAAGCCACTATTAGATAATCTGGATTATATGGCAGTGTAGACGGGACCTCTGTCTCTTCACAAAACCCAGCTGCAACTGCATTATATGATCATCATAGACCCATGTAAGGCTGTTTACCACAATGAACAGCATTATATGGACCAATGTAGACCAGGCATGGCAAACTTCAGTCCTCTTAAATGTTTTGGACTTCAGCTCCCATAATTCCTAAGTCTCAGGCTTAAGCGGCTGAGAAAGTAAAGTAAAGGGCCTGGGGCTGTTAGGAATTGTGGGAGCTGAAGTCCAAAACACCTGAAGGGAGGGCTGAAGTTTGCCTATGCCTGGTATAGACCATATAATACATTATATGGCAGTGTACATGGACTGAGCGTACATATGGTATTGTACATGGGCTTAAGTGGCTGAAGGGGGAAAGGAAAGGGCCTGAGGCTGTCAGGAATTGTGGGAGCTGAAGTCCAAAATGCTTGGAGGGTCCAAGTGTGCCCATACCTGGTGTAGACCATATAATGCATTATATGACAATGTACATGGGCTGAGTGTACATATGGCAGTGTAAATGGGCTTAAATGGCTGAGGGGGGAAAGGAAAGGGCCTGAGGCTGTCAGGAATTGTGGGAGCTGAAGTCTGAAACGCTTGGAGGGTCCAAGTTTGCCCATACCTGGTGTAGACCATATAATGCATTATATGGCAATGTACATGGGTTGAGTGTACATATGGCAGTGCACATGGGCTTAAGTGGCTGAGGGGGGAAAGGAAAGGGCCTGAGGCTGTTAGGAATTGTGGGAGCTGAACTCCAAAATGTTTGAAGTGTACAAGTTTGCCCATAATACATTATATGGCAGTGTACATGGGCTGAGTAATTATATGGCAGTGTACATGGGCTGAGTGTAAATATGGCATTGTATATGGGCTTAAGAGGCTGAGGGGGGAAAGGAAAGGGCCTGAGTCTGTCAGGAATTGTAGGAGCTGAAGTCCCAAAATGCTTGGAGGGTCCAAGTTTGCCCATACCTGGTGTAGACCATATAATGCATTATATGGCAGTGTACATGGGGCCTCTTTCTCATTAAGGTTTAGCTAAAACTAAGATAAGGAACCTGTTGCTACTCCAAATGAGGATTGTGTTGACTTTGGTTCCCATCAGCTGTAGCTTTTGTTTGAGGGTGATGGGAGTTGGAGTCAACCCTATAGTTTCTCTTCCTTCCATATAAACATACTAGCTGGGTCACTCTTTGCATGGCAGGAGTTGTTTTGAAGGCAGGTGATCTAAAGATCCTGGGCTTTGTCAAATTGCTAAATGTGTATTTTTAAAAGTAAGGGTTGTATATTGCAGTCACTTAAAAACCAGCAATGCAAGCCTTTGCATTGTTTCCAACTCCTAGTTGTATTGACTCTTCCTTCTCCCTGCTCTGCTCCCGTCCCTTTCCCACCTCCTCCCGCTTTGTTAAACATTTTCAGGTAGGGACCCTGCACAAATGCCTGGTCAAAGCGGACAACTTGGAGCTGGACGACCAATGCCAGGAGGTCACCGGATTAACCCCCGAAGGCCTGAGCAAAGCCGAGCCCCTGGACCGAGTGCTGTTGCAGGTGAGGGCAGCGGAGGGTTAACTTGGGGCTGATGCAAGAAGGCAAACACTAGACTGCGCTTTTGACTTTCGCTTTGGAACCCTTTGGCAAGCGAGGCTCACCCTCCACAAAGGCCTGCTGTGCTTTCTCTGCCACATGGAGACACATTTCCAGCGATCGCCCAACTTCGGTGACTTCAAAAGTACCATCTACAATGTAGAGTTAATGCAGTTTGATACCACTTTGACTGCCGTGGCTCATTGCTATGGAGTTGGAGTTTTGATAAGTGTTTTAACCTTCTCTGCCAAACTACAAACCCCAGTTTTTCATTGAGATGTGACAATATAAGTGGTATCAAAGTGTATTAATTCTACAGTGTAGACCAGGCATGGACAAACTTCGGCCCTCCAGGTGTTTTGGACTTCAACTCCCACAATTCCTAACAGCCTACCGGCTGTTAGGAATTGTGGGAGTTGAAGTCCAAAACACCTGGAGGGCCGAAGTTTGTCCATGCCTGGTATAGACACATTCTAGATGGCCTTTGTTTACGTTTTCGTTACAGATGCTGTCTTTGTCACAAGGACCAGAATATTTGTGGTTTGGACAACCACAGCTGTCGTCTCCCATTCCTTAGATCAGTGGTCTCAACATTCGTAGTTCTAGAAGTATGGAGCAACCACGGAGAAGACCCCTCCCTTGTTCCCAACTGTGCTTGAGACGGGGGTGGGACCAAGAGTAGGGCCTCCTCCGCAGATCGCAATGCTCAAACCAGTTTGTATGCGGAGATGCAATTCTGCAAATAGTCTGGGCCTGAACCGTTTAGGAAAGTGATTCTCAACCTTCCTAATGCCACGACCCCTTAATACTGTTCCTCATGTTGTGGTGACCCCAACCATAACATTTTCAATGCTACTTCATAACTGATTTTGCGACCGTTACAAATCATAATGTAAATATCTGGTATACAGGATGTATTTTCGTTCACTGGACCAAATTGGGCACAAATACCCAATACGCTCAAATTGGAGTATTGGTGGGCTTGGAGGGGGTTGATTTTGTCATTTGGGAGTTCACCTACAGTCAAGAAGCATTCTGAACTCCACCAATGATGGAATTGAACCAAACTAGACCTTGACATTTGGGAGATGGAGTTGCTGGGATTTATAGTTCACCTACAATCAAAGAACATTCGGAACTCCACCGACAATTGAACCAAACTTGGTACACAGAACTCCCATGACCAACAGAAGAGACTGGAAGAGTCTGGTGGACATTGACCTTGGGTTTGGGAGTTGTCGTTCACGTACATCCAGAGAGCACTGTGGACTCAAACAATGATGGATTGGACCAAACTTGGCACAGATACCCAATATGCCCAAATATGAACAATGCTGGAGTTTGGGTAGAATAGACCTTGACACTTGGGAGTTGCTGGGATTCATCATTATTTGAGTCCTCGGTGCTCTCTGGATTTAGGTGATCTACAACTCCAAAACTCAAAGTCAATGCCCACCAAACCCTTTCCTGTTGTTTGAAGCCATTTTTCCAGATCCTAGTCTCAGGGCAGCAGTGCATAGGTGGAGTATTTTTCAATAAGATATTGTTGTACTAGATGGTCTATGCAGTGGTTCTCAACCTGTGGGTCCCCAGGTGTTTTGGCCTGCAACTTCCAGAAATCCCAGCCAGTTTACCAGCTGTTAGGATTTCTGGGAGTTGAAGGCCACTGTAACATCCAAATCTCTAGGTCTATTTTCCCCAAAGCCTACCAATGTTCACAATTGGACATATTGAGTATTTGCGCCAAGTTTGGTCCATCAGATCCATCATTGTTTGAGTCTACAACTCCAAAACTCAAGCTCAATGCCCACCAAACCCTTCCAGTATTTTCTGTTGGTCATGGGAGTTCTGTGTGCCAAGTTTGATTCAGTTCCATTGTTGCTGGAGTTCAGAACACTCTTTGATACTATGTGAACTATAAATCCCAGCAACTGCATCTCCCAAATGACAAAATCAATCGTCCACAACCCAACCAGTATTCAAATTTGGGTGTATTGGGTATTAGTGCCAGATTTGGTCCAGTGACTGAAAATACATTCTGCATATCAGATATTTACATGACGATTCATAACAGTAGCAAAATTATAGTTATGAAGTAGCAACTAAAATAATGTTATGGTTGGGGATCACCAGAACTTGAAGAACTGTATTAATGGGTCACGGCATTAGGAAGCTCAGATTGTGTAGTCATTATTATTTAAAACTTTTATATCCCCATCTTCTCTACCTTTGCAGAGGGACTCACCCCCCAAACAATTACAATTCTATGGACAGCCTTTATTGAGTCTCCAAACAAATGTATGACGTATAGAATCTTTCCCATATTTGGCTGTTGGGGTGGAAAGTTTGTTCAGTTTTAATAACACGCAATACGAGTCTGACTCGTCCTTTTTACCCATTTTTGTTGTTAAAGAGCAGTTTGAAGTCAGATGGAAAAATACCAATTGTCTGGCTTTGCGGGATGCCTGAAACTGGTTCTTCATATTTTTCTGAATTACTGTGAAAGTTAGTGGGAGAAACTTGCTCAGGTGGTAAAACAGGTTCGAGAGTGTCTCCACTTTTGGTGATGGGGCTCATATCCGGCAAGTAGCCGCCATGTGCCATGTGCCTGGGCATTGCTCTCCTTTCAGTCTGGATTGAATAATGCTTCATCCTAATTTGGGAACACACCCTCCTCTAGGAAAGAAATGTTCCCCCGCAATAGGAGTCAATAGGTGTGGTACCTCTCTTCTACCCCACCCCAGTTAGATCTCATGCCAGACCTGTTACAGCTGGGAAGCTGCCTTTCCCCCTTTTTCTGCAGGAGTTTAGAAACAGCTTTGAGACTAATGTTGGAGGTTGCAAGTTCGTTCTTGCCTTACATTTTGCAACCACCTGGAAGAGCTTAGTTAAGTAGACTCTTTGCTCTTCGCCTTCTTTTTTTCTGCAGTGACACACCATAATTACATTCAGTGAGCTTTATTAAATGGTATGGCACATGTAAAAGGAGCACGCTACCTTTGTCTGGGTGTGGTGGAGACATCTTGGCAAAATGGAGGAGGCCGCACAGGGATTTGGGGCTAAATGCTAAAGCTGAAGCTTGCTTATAGTGTATTTATGCTCTCAGGTGAGAAGGTGGTCTTCTCCCAAACTTACGGTGGTCTTGAGACTTAAAATTACTGGTGCACAATCTCACTGCTTGTCAAACGGTTAGAAATTCTGGGAATTGAAAACTTGAATGCATTTAGAGTAGCCATGTATTCCTTGACTACTTCTTTACCTATTTTGGTTTACCTTTCCCTTTGCTGCCTCCTCCACTCCATATTTTACAGGCTGAACACTGATTTCCTTTTGGGAGTTGAAAACCTGAATGCATTTAGAGTAGCCTTGAGTACTTCTTTACTATTTTGGTTTGCCTTTCCTTTGCTGCCTCATCCACTCCATATTACTCAGGTTGAACACTAATTTCCTTTGGGGAGTTGAAAACTTGAATGCATTTAGAGTAGCCAGGTATTCCTTGACTACTTCTTTACCTATTTTGGTTTACCTTTCCATTTGCTGCCTTCTCCACTCCATATTTTACAGGCTGAACACTGATTTCCTTTTGGGAGTTGAAAACCTGAATTCATTTAGAGTAGCCTTGACTACTTCTTTACCTATTTTGGTTTGCATTTCCCTTTGCTGCCTCGTCCATTCCATATTACTCAGATTGAGCACTGCTTTCCTTTTTCACAGTTGAAAACTTGAATGTATTTAGCGTAACCAGGTATTCCTTGACCATTTATTTACCTATTTTGATTTGTCTTTCCCTTTACTGCCTCGTCCACTCCATATTACTCAGGTTGAACACTGATTTCCTTTTGGAGTTGAAAATGTGAATGCATTTAGAGTAATCAAGTATTCCTTGACTACATCTTTACCTATTTTGGTTTGCCTTTCCTTTTTCTGCCTCCTCCACTCCGTATTAATCACGCTGAACAATGATTTCCTTTTGGGAGTTGGAAAACTTGAATGGATTTAGAGTAGCCAGGTATTCCTTGACCACTTCTTTACCTATTTTGGTTAGCCTTTTGCTTTGCTGCCTCGTCCATGTTACTCAGGTAGAATACTGATTTCCTTTGGGGAGTTGAAAATTTGAATGGATTTAGAGTGGCCAGGCATTCCTTGACTACTTCTTTACCTATTTTAGTTTGTCTTTCCCTTTGCTGCCTTGTCCACTCCATGTTACTCAGGTAGAACACCAATTTTCTTAGGACACTTGAAAACTTGAATGCATTTATAGTAGTCGGGTATTCCTTGACCACTTCTTTACCTATTTTGTTTACATCATTTTTGTCTTGTCCATTCCATATTTTTCAGGTTAAACACTGATTTCCTTTGGGGAGTTGAAAACTCGAATGCATTGTAGAGTAGCCAGGAATTCCTTGACTAACTATTTTGGTTTTCCTTTCCCTTTGCTGCCTTGTCCACTCCATATTACTCAGGTTGAACACTAATTTCCTTTTGGGAGTTGAAAACTTGAATGCATTTAGAGTAGCCAGGTATTCCTTGCCTACTTCTTTACCTATTTTGGTTTGCCTTTCCCTTTGCTGCCTCGTCCACTCCATATTACTCAGGTTGAACACTAATTTCCTTTGGGGAGTTGAAAACTTGAATGCATTTAGAGTAGCCAGGTATTCCTTGACTACTTCTTTACCTATTTTAGTTTGCCTTTCCCTTTGTTGCCTCATCATCTCCGAATTACTCAGGTAGAACACCGATTTTCTTTGGAGAGTTGAAAACTTGAATGCATTTATAGTAGTCAGGTATTCCTTGACCACTTCTTTAACTATTTTTGTTTACATCTTTTTTGTCTTGTCCACTCCATATTGCTCAGGTTGAACACTGATTTCCTTTGGGGAGTTGAAAACTTGAATGCATTATAGAGTAGCCAGGAATTCCTTAACTAACTATTTTGGTTTTCCTTTCCCTTTGCTGCCTTGTCC